GGGGGTCGTCCGGCGGTGGCGGGGTTGGATGGCCCCCGCGGCGGGGGTCCGGGGGCCGCAGCCTCACACCGGCTTTGCCCCCGGGGATCCCCGCTGGACAACGCTGGGCGTAACCATCTTACCCGATGTAGTTCTTGCCGGGGCGATGACCCTGTAACCTTTTGAGAGGCCATACAGTTAAGAGAGATGTCGAGGGATGAAGACACTCTCCGTCGGTCAGAAACAGTTAGGTCCGTACTGAGGCAGCTTGTGTTGCCTTGTAACCCTAGCAGGGGGGTAGTCGAGACTTGATGATTTCTGGTACGAGGATTGAAAGTGGTCGGCGTGTCCTTCATCTGTGGTGAGGGTAGATTCTGAAGATGGATGGTTAGTGATTCTAGTTCTGGTTCTTTTTCCTTTTTGCTTTTTCAAATTGGGAAGATGAAAATCGAAAGTACGGTTTGGAAGGAATTTTGGGTGGGCTCGTGCAATAGAGGAAGGGTGACTCAGGGGGGTAAGTCTACTAGAAGGGCGGGGTGGGGCGACTTTGGTCGGTGCTGCAGCAGTGGCTCTGTGACCAAGAGGAGCCTGAGGCCATTGAAGTTATGTCGAGGGTGGAAGACATAACCACCTCGTTCAACGTAGCTGATGCCTGGGGCGGTGACCCTGTAACCGGTAGGGGGTTTTGCAGCTAAGGAAGTTGTTGGGGGAGGAAGATATTTCCTGTCCGTCGGAAAACAACTAGTTTGGTGCTGGGGCAGTTTGTGTTGCCTTGTAACCCCAGCAAGGGGGGTGTAAGAACTGGCGACTTCTGGTACGAGGACTGAAAGCCTGAGCAACGGTTTCTCGCTTGTATTGAGGGTTTGAGTTGGATTGGCGGTGATTTCATTTCTATTTTTTGTCTCTCTGTTTTTCATAATTACCATTAAATGGTAGGTGGCGGTTCTCCTGAGAATGTCTTAGGATTCTGGGTACTTCTTGCAACTATTCATAAGCTTCTTTGTTGCTGTTAGATTTATGGACCTGCGGTTTTTTGATATCAAAACGACGTTGGCCGGAGCTGGGGGGTTGCCTTGTAACCTGTCAGTGGCAGGAGCGTGAGGCCTGGTAGAGAGATCTGGGGATGCCTTGGGCCGGGCATTCCAAGGGAAAACCAAGGGTTGCTGTCGGGACAATGCTGGCCGGAGCTGAGGTGAGTTGTGTTGCCCTTTAACCTAGCAGGGTGGGGGCATGAGGTCTGGGAGAGCCCGACAGAGAATTTGATAGTGTTAGAGAATTTTGTAGTGTTTTGTGGGGGTTTCCAGGGATTCTGAGCATTCAAAGGACTTTTTCTCTAAATGTTTTCTGGATTTTTTCTGGATTTTTTCATAAGTTCTCAGATTGCTCTTAGCCGAAGCCAGGTAATGGCCCTGGCATTTTAAACTCATTTGTATAAATTTTACATGGGACGCTGGGCCCGGTTCCCAGCACGTGTCGCTCCCCAGGAATAGATTGGAGCTTTTGTCCCCCCCCCAAAAAAAGGGGATAAGGGGAGAAAGGGAGAGGACACGGGAGCTGGAAAAACACCAACGAAGGACAGACGACAAAAAGACAGATGGCAGGAACATAAGGGGAGTCGGGAAGGGGACACAAGAACGGTCGGCGCAACAAGAGAAAAGACAACACAAGCAACAAGGGTAAAACGGTTGCGGGCAAGACAAGGAGGGGAGGGAGGTAAGCCCATCACAGGCCGGCACAGGCTACCATTACCCACGCCTGCCCGTTAACATCTGCATCCCCAACCTCGGTGCAAAACCATACCCGACCCCGGACCTGGAAATCCGTGATCCCTCATCCAACCTAATATTCACACTTATTCTCATTTATCGCCTTCGTTTGTACCCGGGTGGCTCTGCGTCTCCGTAACAAAGATGCGACAACATCATGACAAAGCGCCCAATCAAGCACATGCAATAGAAAGAAAAAAAAAAATTGAAAAAAAAACTGACCACAAACAAACGATACCGCCAAGTAGGCGACGCACATGGCCAAGGGGATAAGATTCAATCCCGGGTAGCACCTACCCCTGAGCCTGAAGGGGTTCTTCGAGGGATTGAACCTCTCCCACCGGCCCCCC